TAATGGTACGATGGTGTTATTGATGTAAACTTTCTCTGTAATGGTGACGATGGTGTTATTGACGTAAACTGACTCTGTAATGGTACGATGGTGTTATTGATGTAAACGTACTCTGTAATGGTGACGATGGTGTTATTGATATAAACTTACTCTGTAATGGTGACGATAGTGTCCCCTATATCAGAACTTACGTAGACTATTATATACAGATCTAGCATGGTACGATGGTGTTATTGATGTAAACTTACTTTGTCATGGTACGATGGTGTTATTGACGTATACTTACTCTGTAATGGTGACTATGGTGTTATTGATGTAAACTTACTCTGTAATAGTACGATGGGGTTATTGATGTAAACTTACTTTGTAATGGTACGATGGTGTTATTGACGTATACTTACTCTGTAATGGTGACTATGGTGTTATTGACGTAAACTTACTCTTTAATGGTACGACGGTGTTATTGATGTAAACTTACTCTGTAATAGTACGATGGGGTTATTGATGTAAACTTACTCTGTAATGGCACGATGGTGCTATTGACGTAAACTTACTCTGATATGGTGACGATGGTGTTATTGATGTAAACTTACTCCGTAATGGTACGATGGTGTTATTGACGTATACTTACTCTGTAATGGTGACGATGGTGTTATTGATATAAACTTTCTCTGTAATGGTGACGATAGTGTCCCCTATATCAGAACTTACGTAGACTATTATATACAGATCTAGCATTGTACGATGGTGTTATTGATGTAAACTTTCTCTGTAATCGTAACGATGGTGTTATTGAAATAAATGGGCTCTGTAATGGTACGATGGTGTTATTGGTGTAAACGTACTCTGTAATGGTGACGATGGTGTTATTGACGTAAACTGACTCTGAAATGGTACGATGGTGTTATTGATGTAAACTTACTCTGTAATAGTACGATGGTGTTATTGATGTAAACTTTCTCTGTAATCGTAACGATGGTGTTATTGAAATAAATGGGCTCTGTAATGGTACGATGGTGTTATTGACGTAAACTGCCTCTGTAATGGTGACGATGGTGTTATTGACGTAAACTGACTCTGTAATGGTACGATGGTGTTATTGATGTAAACTTACTTTGTAATGGTTCGATGGTGTTTCTTCAGATGATTACAATAAAATTGCCAAATCAGTACAAAACGTTCTAGGTAGGTCGGGAAGTTTTGATTAATTCCCTGTCTCTATTTATACCCCCACCCCCTTTCTCTTTCCCACTATCCTTCTCCCCCCACCCCCACCCCCCTCCGAATCCTCGATTTCACTGTGATATGTTTCATCAATTTGTTTGTTTCTTAATGTAAATTATCTTTCATGCCATCACGTGAACTCAATTGTAAATATGTTATGTATGTTATTCGGAGAAGTCATCTTTAAGTTGGAAAAACTTACGGACTAATCCTATTGTCATATCATATGTCAATAAAATAGGTTTAAACTAAAAAAAACTAAACAAACGAAATTCAGATACAGTTGTGATCTTCTGATGATACTCGATACATGTGAGGTTCACTACACTACTTCTAGTGAAGAGTTCATGCTTGAGAGATGCCTATCTTTTTATAGCTTTGTTTGTATATATTTATAAAGCCGTTAAAGAGGGTCATCTACATCGCGTGTTTGTTGATATTCGTCCAAATGGTTTTTTGATACTGCGTTCATGAAAGACACGAACGATTATTTGTTTTGCTATGTATCATATTTCAAAAAAATGTCTTGTTCATGAGAAGTAGATATATCAAATAATGAAACATGACCCAAAAATGACGTAGATAGAAAAAAAAGATTGGACCAAGTGAAGAAAAGGTCAGCAAGCAGTTGCATCGGGGTTACGGCGACTACACGGAAAGACGTGGACTATTTGACCAAATACGGTGGATTACAAAAATGTGCGGGGATATTATTTATTTTTTATACAAAAAATACTCAGTCACTCAGGTAAATAATTAAAATAATTGACAGGTATTTCTAGCCAAATATCGTAACTATTGTCTTCCTAAGGGTTATATTAGATTATGATATTTTGGGAATTTAGGCCAATTCTCGTTAAAATTGCAACAATCAAAACCGAGAGATGATACAACCTCTTAATATACCTAATATTACTTTGGACACACATCAGTTTTGGTCCAGACATACCTGCTGTAACAAGTTATCGGGTCCCTGTGCGCATCTAACATCGCTTCTTGAATACAACAAAATGTTGTTTGTTGAAATTCTTCTTTTCCCACCAGCATCATTTAATTAAGATATTTGTCTTTGTATTTAAAACAAATTACAAAATTTATATGCTAACATCAAAACGACTCTTTTGAAAACGAATTGTTGAGAAATTATTCAAAACGTAAAGCTGCAACTTTACTTTAAAAATGAGAAATCTAGAGTTAACGCTGTTGACCTACGTCTTATGGTCTATAAAGGACATACATAATCTAATATATCAAACCGTAAAGACTTGTTGACAATGTCTGGCAATATTTTACACCTGTCATTGTCTGGAGACTAGAAATAGCTATGGAGGTTGAATGATGCACAACGTTGACGTCATCAGGGTATCATGTATCACACTTTAATTATACTCCTGAAAAGACGCGTAAATAATGGAAGCGTTTTATGCTTATCCCGAATCTCATTTCACCAAAACTTGAATTAATTCTCACCCTTGCCTTTCCTGGTCGTATTTTATAATCTAGTCATACTTACAAAAATCATAAAACACATTCTTTAGCTTTTCGTTCCTCACACCGGCACGCAACTACCTCACACCGTTTTATGCATTAAGGATCCCTGCTTCCCTACAGGCAACATAGCTGGCTATCTAGTTTTATTTCCGATCGGAAACAGCAAATCCTCTACTTTTCAAAAGTCTCTGTTGATGCGCGCAGGGATGTTTTACCCACTCTCGCTGGAGAGTGTATTCCCTCAAACGAAAGAAGAATTAAATAATAGAAAAATTGCACTTTGGATATTCTTGTATAGAGCAATCTCCCCTTATTTGTTAGAGCGACGGTAAACAATCTGAGGCCCGGGTTTCGAATTCGGGTCTAGCCCCCCCC